CTTGTTCCTTTGTCATCTGATTGTCCACTGCCTGTTGAATTCTTGTCAGAATAATTCTGGTGAACAATTTAGACACCACTGATAAGAGAGTGATTCCCCTCCAGTTGGTACATTTAGTGGTGTTGCCCTTCTTTGGGATTTTCACGATAAGACCTCTGTGCCAGTCATCTGGGATCTGTTCCTCCTGTCATATGTGCTCGAACAAGACGAAGAGCACCTCATAAGCTGTTTCAATATCTGCATTTAGTAGTTCCGCCGGTATGTCATCATAGCCAGGGGCTTTGTTATTCGTCAGTTGTCTAATTGCTTTTCGTATTTCATTCCTAGTTATTGCGTCTGAATTTATGTCTAATTCCGGTGCATAATAAGTAATCAGTTTTTTTGTAAGTACTGTAAGTAACTACATTAATATTGTATTGTAAGCAGTGTAAGTAGCAATTAATTAAAATTAAAAATAATAATAATAATAATTCCGGTGCATTGACGTCAAGACGAGGTGGATTGCGTGGGTCATCTCTGTTGTGTATTGTACTGAAGTGTTCTGCCCAATTTTTGTTAGGGTGTTTCCGTTTAGGTCCTTAATTGTTGTAGAGTTTTGCTGGATTTACCAGAGAGACTTCTCGTAATATCATACAGCTTTCTGTTATCATTTACCTTTGTTGCTTCTTTTGCTTCTTTTCCTTTATTCTCGATGTAGTTTTTTTTTGTCTTCACGGGCATTTTTCTTAACTGCTTTGTTCTTAACTCTGTATTGTTGCTGGAGATCCCCGCCTTGAGTGTGTTGGGTTGGGTATTATTTAACATGCGTTTCTTCAATTCTTTCCTTTCCTCAACTTAAGTCCACGTATTGCCTGAGATCCACTCTTTCCTTTTTCTGGTTGAGTACCCTAGCACTTCCTTTCCTGTTTCTGTATATATGCTGTTAACACTTTGCCATATATATTCCACCCCGGTTTCTTCTTCCTGAGCGCCCATTTCCGCTAGACCCTCAAACCTGTTCTGTAGCCTTAAGCTGAACTCTCTTTGTGTTAACGGATCTTTAAGCTTGTAAAGGTTTAACCTTGTCCTTGAGGACTCTTTGACTACCCTCCTTAGTTTCAAATAGAGCCTGCCAACCACCAACATATGGCCACTTCCACCCCTAAACACCCTTGTGTCCAGGAACGAGGTTCTCCATTTGCTGGTAATTGCAAAATTATCAATCTAGTTTTTGGTGTTTTTGTCTGGGGAAATCCATGTGGTCTTATGAATCTCCCTATGAGTGAAGATGGTACCCCCTATGACCAGCCCATTAAGACCGCAGAAATCTGCAATGAGCTCTCCATTCTCATTCATGTCACCAGAGCCATGTTTTCCCATATGATCTTCTCTTCCCGTGTTGTCACTCCCAACTTTGGCATTAGGTCACCTACTACCATCAAGACGTCGTGCTTTGGTGTTGCTGCCACCTCTGACTGTAGCTGTTCATAGAAGTTGAGCTTGTCTGCCTGGTCTGCTGTATTGGTGGGTGCGTAGCATTGAATGACCGTAAGTTTCCTATATTTAGAGTAGAACCTAGCGCGGACAATCCTCTCGTTTACTGGTTTCCATGCCATAAGTGCCTTAGCAGCTGTTTTATTTAGCATAAGAGCCACACCTTCCTGATGTAGTCCATCCTTTCGGCCCGAGTATATAACAGTTGTCCCATCGGCTAATACTAGTTTGCCACTTCCCGTCCATCTGGCTCCACTAACTCCTAAAATATCAATCCTATTTTGTTTCATTTCCTTGGCCACTTGTGCAGCTTTTCCACATTCGAACATCGTTCTGACGTTCCAGCAGCCAATTCTGGTTATGAATTTAGTCCCAGCAATGAGGGTGTTTCGGCTCGCGGAGCGTCATACTACCATCCGAGGAGTGGTCCTCTTTCTGGCGACCAGTCGTCTTGCACTGTAAATTTCCTGTGTCGGTTTCTGTAGTCGCTCATTAGTCTGAGGGGGTAACTAGCCGTTTGCAGACTTGCCAGAGCCCCTATTAGCCAGTTTGTTCAGGGTTCCTGCTAGGCCTTCACAGCCACCGCAGCGGCCCCGGGAACTAAGTCCCACTGTACTTCACCCTGACAGGCAGTCCCCTACTCCGCTGTTGCCCACCTCCCACGAGCGACGACGTTAAGGGTTGGTCTTTGGGAGGCCTTCCTATACCTGCGTCCTTGATATACACGGGCTTCCATGGAAGTGTACAAGGTCAGTTTTTTTGTGTGTGCGACTTACCGTAGTGTTCTTTAATAAGATAAACGTATTTGTCAGGCCGCATGATTAGAGCTGTCGCTTTTGCTCGTGCAAATTTTTTTATTGTCAATAATCTCCTCTTTGCCGAAAGCTACGCGAAAATGTTGTCAATCCACTTGGGAATTCTCACTTCGGAATTCTCAGTTGTCTCCAAACTTGAGGATAGAGTGAACACCCCGTGTTAGCATACATCTCAGGTCCGAACCCAATAAAGTCCACTCATGTCCAATACATCCGATCCGTAACGGGTCGCAAAAGAGGTGACGGTTCGCGACGGATCGTGACGGTTCGCCGGGTCGTCACGACCCGTCACGAATCGTCACCGACTGTCTCGACCTTCACACCGGAAGTCATGTCGCGAAAAGGGATAGCGGAAATAACAGGCGAATGAAGTGTGTGAATATTCCTCGTTCTAAAAAAAGCGGCCACAAACATTCGCACAAGTGTAAAAAACGACGCACGCTAATGATGAGTCTCTCGCGAACTGACAAACGGTCACGAATCGTCACCATCCGTCCTGGTCGTGACGATCCACCGACATGTCGCGAACTGCACAAACGGTGACGGGTCGTCGCGATCCGTCCCGATCGAGACGATCCGCCGACATTTTCACCTCCCTTCATAGTACAAACATGGTCAAGGGTTGTTACCATCCGTCTCGTACGTGACGATCCGCCGACATGTCGCAAAGTGACAAACGGTGACAGGCCGTCACGACCCGTCACGGATCGTCACCACTTTGGCGACCCGTTACGGATTTGGTGTATTGAACAACCCTCATAAAGTCATTCAGGGAAGAACCTAACAAAATATTATGTTATTACTGTGAAACACAAAAATAATTGAAAACCAGAAATATTTATGGAATGTTATTGTGTAGCTAGGAAAAAGCCAATTAAGCGTGAGAAAACTAAACCACAAACGGCAGCGTGTCCTGAACTTTATTGTGATTGATTCAGTACACAATTAACCTCTCAGAATCAAATCAAAGTGTTCAGTTTTCCGAGTTACACATTAAAAAAAAATAATCGATTCTATAAATTCTAAATCCATTGTGCAAATTCCTGAGTCCATACCTTTCCTCCTTTTATTGCGAAGCAACCATCTCCGGTGCTGGGATCATCTGCGTTACAATTTTGGGATCATTTGCGGGCGGGGATCATTTGTGGTCCTGCAGCACGCGATTGCAAATGTTGGTTTATATTTTTGCTTTCAGCTTAGAATAACGTACGTAAAAAGAGATACTTGTACAAATTAGCTTTTTACGCTGAAACATTAACAGTTGATGTGAGAATATTTAGCACGACATTTGCAGGCTAATGTAAATATTTTTGTGAGTCTAAGGAAACTGGCGCCGTCACGCAACGTATCAAAAAATTGTAGTTTATACAGGGGACCTATTCACTGACGTGGACTTCGACACTATGAAATATCTCTCAGTAAAACTTCGGTTGTTGTTGAAAAATGTTGATTTTCCAATAGAAAGAGTTTGAAAGTCGGCAAGAGAAATCATTTAAGGTGTATAATACTAAAGTGACGGCGTCGAACGCACTCACGGTCTTTGATTACCACTAATTTACTGGCAATAATTTCGGGACTTTGATCTCTGGCCGTTTAATAGAGGCTGGCCGTTTAATAGGAGCTCGACTGTAGTCAACTTGTGTGTACCTCCTTTTACCCATGTTTGAAAGTTTTCGTCAATCAATTTTTTTTATAGCAAAGGGAAGATTCTTTACCGAAAACTGCCAAAGATGTAGAACATGGACGTCATCTAACAATTGCCAAAGAAGTGGACAACAAAGCGAAAGAAGGAGAGGCCTATTGTAACCTTGGCATTGTTTATAAAAGTCTGGGAGATTTCAAAACAGCCATCGATTACCATGAACGTCACCTGAGAATTGCCAAAGAAGTGGGAGACAAGGCTGGAGAAGGAAGGGCCTATGGTAATCTTGGCAACGCTTACGGTGGTCTGGGAGATTTTCAAACAGCCATTGCTTACCATGAATGTCAACTGAAAATTGCCAAAGAACTGGAAGACAAGGCTGGTGAAGTGGCGGGCTATTGTAATCTGGGTAACGTTTATTATAGTCTGGGGGATGTCAGAAAAGCCACTGACTACCAGGATCGTTCTCTGACAATTGCAAAAGAAGTGGGAGATAAAATAGGAGAAGGAAGGGCCTATGGTAATCTTGGCGTTGCTTATCGAAGTCTGGGGGATTGTAAAGCAGCTATTGACTACCAGGAACGATCTCTAAAAATTGCCAAAGAGTTGGGAAACAAAGCTAGCGAAGGAAGCTCCTATGGTAATCTTGGCGAAGCTTATGATAGCCTGGGGGATTTCAAAACAGCTATCGACTACCATGAACGTCATCTTAAAATTGCCACAGAAGTGCAAGACAAAGTGGGAGAAGGGAAGGCCTATGGTAATCTTGGTATTGCCTATGAAAGTCTGGGGGATTTTAAAACAGCAGTTGATTATTACAAGCGCCATCTAAAAATTGCAAAGGAAGTGGGAGACAAATCTGGAGAAGGGAAATCTTACGGTAATCTTGGCAATGCTTATGGTGGTCTTGGCGATTTCAAAACAGCCATTGCTTACCATGAATGTCAACTAAAAATGGCCAAAGAAGTGGGAGACAAGGCTGGTGAAGGAATGGGCTATTGTAATCTGGGCAACGCTTACGGTGGTCTGGGGGATTTCAGAAAAACCACTGAATACCAGGAACGTGCTCTAAAATTTGCCAAAGAAGTTGGAGATAAAAGAGGAGAAGGAAGGGCCTATGGTAATCTTGGCGTTGCTTATCAACGTCTGGGGGATTGTAAAGCAGCTATTGACTACCAGGAACGATCTCTAAAGATTGCCAAAGAGTTGGGAAACAAAGCCGGAGAAGGAAGCTCCTATGGTAATCTTGGCGACGTTTATGATAGCCTGGGGGATTTCAAAACGGCAATTGACTACCATGAACGTCATCTAAGGATTGCGCTAGAAGTGCAAGACAAAGTGGGAGAAGGAAAGGCCTATGGTAGCCTTGGCAACGCTTATAAAAGTCTCGGGCATTTCAAAACAGCCATTGATTATCAGACACGTTATCTTAAAATTGCAAAGGAAGTGGGAGACAAATCTGGAGAAGGAAATGCTTATGGTAATCTTGGCAATGCTTATGGTGGTCTTGGGGATTTCAAAAGAGCCCTTGATTATCATGAACGTCAACTAAAAGTTGCCATAGAAGTGGGCGACAACGCGGGAGAAGGAGGGGGCTATTGCAATCTTGGCAACGTTTATTATAGTTTGGGGGATATCAAAACAGCCATTGCCTATTATGAACGTGCCCTTAAAATTTCCAAAGAAGTGGGAGATAAAGAAAGAGAAGGAGGGGCCTATGGTAATATCGGCGTCGCTTATCGAGTTCTGGGGGATTGCAAAACAGCGATTGAATACCAAGAACACGCTCTAAAAATTTCCAAGGAAGTGGGAAACAAAGCTGGAGAAGGAAGCGCCTATGGTAATCTTGGTGACGCTTATCACAATCTGGGAGATTTTAAAACAGCTATTGACTACCATGAACGTCATCTTAAAATTGCCACAGAAGTACAAGACAAAGTGGGAGAAGGAAAGGCCTATTGTAATCTTGGTGTCGCCTATAAAAGTCTAGGTGATTTCAAAACAGCAGTTGATTACTTTGAACGTCATCTTAAAATTACAAAGGAAGTGGGAGACAAATCTGGAGAAGGAAATGCTTATGGTAATCTGGGCAATGCTTACGATGGTCTTAGAGATTTCAAAACAGCCATTGCTTATCATGAACGTCAACTAAGAATTGCCACAGAAGTGGGAGACAAAGCAGGAGAAGGAGGGGGTTATTGTAATCTTAGCAACGCTTTATATTCCTTGGGGGATTTGGTACGAGCCACTGGCTACCAGGAACGTGCTCTAAAAATTTTCAAAGAGGTGGGAGATAAAAGACGAGAAGGAAGAGCCTATGGTAATCTTGGCGTTGCTTCTCGAAATCTGGGGGATTACAAAAGAGCCATTGAATACCAAGAGCGTGCTCTTACAATTGCCAAAGAATTGGGAGACAAGGCCGAGGTTGCCAATTCGTTTTATGGTCTTGGTAGGAGCTTTGAATTGCAAGGGTCCCTACCTAAGGCTCTTGATTGTTTTCATTCCAGTGTGAGAATGTTCAATATAGTTAGGCATGATCTTAAAGGTAAAGATGAGTGGAAAATCAGCTACCGCAATATGCATGAAGCTGCGTTCACCAGTCTGTGGCATCTGTTATTGAGACAAGGCAAGGTAGTCGAGGCTCTATTTGCTGCTGAGCAAGGACGTGCACAAGCACTTAATGATCTTTTGGATTTAAACTATGGGCTCGAAACATCCTACTATCAGTTACACACCAGGGAAGAAAGTACCTTCGACTCATTCAGTTTCCTTCCTTCAATTGCCGTTTTTATGGCAACTGATGAAAAAGACATTGTTTTCTGGGTTGTTCAAGATGGAAAGGACGTACAATTAAGGAAAAAGGCACTCAGTGTTAACAGTTCATTGAATTTGAACGACGTCCTGAGGTCTTTAATTGTTGCTGCTTCCCAGGAAATTGATGTGAGAGCTGGTGTGAAATGCGAGGATCGTTCGCTGGATGCGCTGGGAGACGAGCAGGTGATAAATGAAAGGTCACCGCACACATCAGCTAAGCATGTTCCCCTCCAGATGAGTGTTTTAAGAACACTTTATGACATCATCATTGATCCTATTGCAGACTTGATCCATGGTAACGAACTTATCTTGGTTCCTGAAGGTCCATTGTGCCTGGCTCCTTATGCTGCATTGTTGGACTCTAATTCCACGTATTTATGTGATGTTTGTAGGATCCGAGTTATTCCGTCGCTCACCAGTTTGAAACTGATCACAGATTCTCCGGCTGGTTATCACAGCGAGACGGGGGTGCTTCTAGTGGGTGATCCGTGGGTACAAGAGGTTGTCATTCCAGGGAAAATATTGGAACAGCTGCCATGCGCCAGAAAAGAAGTACAGATGATTGGGAGAATGTTTAACACCAAACCACTCATTGGAAGAGAGGCAACAAAGGATGAAGTATTAAGACGACTTCCCACGGTTGCTCTAATACACATTGCGGCGCATGGTCGAATGGAAACAGGAGAAATTGCCCTGGCACCTAATACTACACGAACTTCCAAGACTCCTGGGAATGAAGACTTCCTTTTAACTATGAAAGACGTAACAAGTGCTCAAATTCGCGCAAGGCTGGTAGTATTAAGTTGCTGTCATAGTGGTCGCGGAGAGATTAAGGCTGAGGGGGTTGTTGGCATTGCACGAGCGTTTCTTGGTGCCGGTGCTCGTTCTGTCCTGGTGTCCCTGTGGGCGATTGATGACGATGCCACTCTGTAGTTCATGAATATTTTCTACTCACACTTGGTAAAAGGGATCAGTGCCAGTGAATCATTGAACAAAGCCATGAAACATATGAGAGAATCTGACCAGTTTAATGAAGTGAAGCACTGGGCTCCGTTTGTGTTGATTGGAGATGACGTCACAATAGAATTTGGCGGAAGCGAATAAATGCCTTTGACTGTAAGTAGGAATGTGTGTAGTACTGACTTGAAAATATCATAAGCGAACTATTATTAGGTTTGGTACCGTATATATTTTATCTTACACGGGCTTTAGAGACTCCCAGGCGAAACTGCGGGAAAACATCTGAAACATTATTGCACTTACTGACGTGAAGTATGTAAATAGCAGAGTGCTAAAAGGGCATGATACATTTTTAACAGTAGTTTGACTTCATCAGATATCGCTATGACAGTTCTTTGTGCAAAGAATCGTTTCAATATTAGAATTATGGAATAGGTAACGTTAAAAACCTGACTGCCGTGACCTGTGGATACTTTCTTTATGGAATGATTCCTCTATGTGAAAGATTTCTTTAGCACTGAGTGTGACTATATCAGGTTTTTACTAACACAATTTACCTATGCAATTCTGATATGCAAATGAATATATGAAAGATCATATATTTGAACTGCGCAGAAATATATGAAGACATCAACGATCACTACAGTAATATAAACAACTGTACACAACACAGCATTTGTGAAATTAAAGCCTGAAAAAAAAATTATCAATTATTATCGCAGCGATGATCATTGATGTCTATATCTTTCTACGCAGTTCAACTATATGATCTTTCATATATTCACTTGTATTCGTCACCATCTACGGGTATATTACGAACTCACAATATGACAAGCTCCCAGTTAGCTAGTAGCTTAAGTGGTAGTATATAGATCACTGCACCTGTCGCAGAAGTCATGGGTTCCAATCCCGTTAAAACCAGGAATTTTTTCAGGCTTTAATTTCACAGCTGCTTAAGTTTTGTGAATAATTTCGATGAACATTGATGTCTTTATTCAATTTTGATGTGTTGTACATATCTATCCCTTAGGTACGGAACGTGGAAACTGTACATAGCGAGGAAGCGGAACGTGGAAACTGTACATAGCGAGGAAGTGACCAAAGTGCAGAGTCTTAATCAAGACGTGTATCTACTAACTTGATATGAAGCTGTTTTCTTCACAAGAAGAAGTCTAAACAAACTTATGAAAGACACTGTTAACATACATAATTAAGTGCAAATTGTAACTAAGGAGAAAAGCAATGGTATGAACCTTTCCCAGACTAAGTTTTGTAGATGTTCAGTGCTATTATCGATGCAAATGAGGTCGACCCAGCGACTTTTTGTCAAGATACATATTGATGTTAACGTAAATACACAACTCGCTTTAAGCTACACAGTAAATAGGTCAAAGACAGAACTATTCTAATGTTTGGGCCAAGCAAGATGTTTTGAGTTTTTGGACTTATAGTGATTAGGTGCTTTTTGATGTACGCTTTATTTGAGATATTCACCAGCAGCTTACAGATAATTAATGAGTTTGACCGCAGAAGAATAATGTAAATAGTAACATTTCAGTATTTTTCAACATAATCAACAGGGTCGTGTTTCTTAGGCGTGATACAATCCGTTTGGAGAAGTTGTTTTCACGTGTCTCTTTTACGTTTAAACATGTCATATAAATAGTGTGTAAAAGATCCTCCGAATATTTGTTTTTTCATTAAAACGGAAGAAAATTCAGCACGTAATCATCTTTCTTNTCCCTGTGGGCGATTGATGACGAGGCCACTCTGCAGTTCATGAACATTTTCTACTCACACTTGGTAAAAGGGATCAGTGCCAGTGAATCATTGAACAAAGCCATGAAACGTATGAGAGAATCTGACGAGTTTAATGAAGTGAAGCACTGGGCTCCGTTTGTGTTGATTGGAGATGACGTCACAATAGACCTTGGTGGAAACTAAAAATCGTTTTCAAATGTAAGTAGGACTTCGTGTAGTAGTGACATGGAAATATCTGTGCTTTAGTAACTGCTCTCCGCGTTGAAATGAAAGAGCGTTTAGGTATTCTAATATATGAGACGGATTTTACATTGGTCATTGAATCTCACTCGGGAACCTGGGAGAAAATCTCAGAAACATAATTTCAGTTTTTGATTTGACTTCTTATAAAAAGCAGAGTGCCAACATGCATAATACATTTTTAACAGCAATTTGAGGTCATCAAATATAGTTATGACAGTTTTATATACGACAAAATTGTTACAATGTTTAGTTAAGGCATAAGTAACTTTAAATCCTGACTGGCGTAACGTGCGAGTCCTTTTTGTACGAAATGATTCATCTATGTGAAAGATTTGTTAGCATTGAATGCTGCTTTACTGTGTTTTACCATTGTGATTTTAGTACGATTTACTTTATAAAGACGTTTGATAAACGATTTATATATCTACCCCTTAGGTATGGAACACAGAAATTGTATATGGCGAGGAAGACCGATAAGCAGAATCTTGACCAAGACGTGTATCATTGACGTGCATTTGTTGGCTTGATATGAAGCTCTCTTCCTCACAAGAGAGAGGACTCAATATGCTGATGAAAGACTTTTAACGTACATAGTGTGAAAAGGAGTGAAAGATTTCGTAGTTATTAAGGGGAAAATGATTGATATAAACCTCTCCAAGAATATATATATAGCTTTCTTGAATGTTCACGGGTGTTATCGGTGCGATGAGGCCGATCTATTTGAATGATTATCAAGATAAATATTGATTTTAGCGTTAATAAGAACCCACATAGGAAGAGAAAGCAAATAAGTCAGACAGACATCGCTGCAGTATGTTATTTTATCTATCATTACAACCCTGAGAACCATTTAAACGTCTAGCTGAAGCAACGTGTTTTAATTTTATTGTTACAGCGATGAAGTCTTTTTTGAGCGGTTTTCCAGTAGCTTTATCTAAGTAGCGAGTCTCACCACTGTCTCACGGTGCAGGTATAATATAAATAGCAACATCTCAGTATTTTCAGAAATGTTCAAAATCTATTAAGTGTTGGGTTCCTTAGACATTGTATAACCCGCTTGGAGAAGTCAAGTTTTTTTTAAATTTATATTTTCTTATTTTTTAAGTTATTTTTATGTCACTTTTCTTTAAGAGAGTGATATCCAGTGATATCCGTTTTATTATTTTTTTGTTTGGAATAACTGACGGACTTTGGTTGTAACCTGATAAGTCGTTAATGGGTCCATAATAAAAACTGTTTTGTTACCAAACAGTAGTAAATTTAGTAATAGTACCAACTTCATAGTCCGCTTTGGGAATATATTAGCTTGGCGTAATAGAATTTGTCCGTTCATATTGTAATACTTCACAGAGTTGAGACTCGGAGCTTCACGCTACGCTTACTATTTTACTAATCCCCCACCGTCACTCGCTTGTTTTTCCCGGCTGAGATCTGGGGAAGGTTTAAAACCTTCTCTGACAACAACCGTTCCACCCGTAATAAGATATCTTAGCTGGTAGTGTTTTCTACAAAGGTTTTGCGGGGAGGGGGACAGGAAAGCAGAAAGGGAAGTGGCGGAGGGGGTGTAAGGAAAGGGGTGTAAGGAAAGGGGGTGTTTCGGAATGTATTTTGGCAAGAGATTATTAATAATCGTTAATTGTCGTTCCCTGA